GACAGGGATGTCAGTGGGGCGCAATCCCATAGAATCCACCCTGCAAAGCCTCCATTTTCTCCAGGGAAACTGATCTCTGTTGTCTGGAGATGAGCTGTAATTCCAGGGAATCCCTGGGTTCCACCTGGAGGCTGGCACTCCTAAACAGTAGTACCTTAAAAATGTTTGCTACAAATTTTGACCACTATAGTGATCGGGTAATGGTGAGGACCTCAACAGAGTTCTTCAAACTGTGTTGTAGAATCTAAGTTTGAGGAAGAAAACTCCAGTTTATCCATGCTATGACACCTGCATTTGGACTTCACAGTGAATTGGAGTATGATTCAAGGCTTCTAAAACCAGGAAGAATTGTGTTGTGCCACGAGGGGAGGTGGGAGGGAACATACAAGCACAACAACAAGCTAGTTTCATGCCCACAAGGAACAAACCTTGATTTGTGCATGATGAATGAATTGCAGCCTATTTGACACTTCAGCTGTGTTAAATAACAGTTGTGAACTATTTGAAATTACGCATCCATCCAAGGAGCCCCTTTCATAAAGCACTGTGGAGATCCAATGTGTGTCTGCTACCACAGTCTGCCAAATGTATTGAGATTAAACTTTTTTGAAAATAATGTGAAATGCGATAAGAAGAAAGAGGAAGAAAGTATAATTTAAATTATTGTTCCTGCACATTCACTAATTAGTTTGAAACATATGAAGTTATGTGTTCACTAATGGCTGATGAATCCAAAGAAGCAGAAATAGTCAGAAACCATAGGATCAATACAATGTGAGTAGGAGCTGGGTTACAAATCTCCCCAAGGTGCTTCACATTACAAAATGTGTCCTGAAAAATCTACTGGAAATTATTACACACAATGCTTCTCCTGCAGGCATGTCACCATCTCTGTTTAGTTTTAATAAATCTGCATCTGATTCCAATGGATCCATGTTATTCTGGTCTTTAAATTTAGATTTTATTTAAAATAATTTTAAAACAAAAATTCTAGTACATGACATATTAAGCTGTATACTGCTATCCAATGCATCTAGTTTGAAAAATAAGCACCAGTCAGTCTTAATAATTCAATAAACAAAATGATTCTGGAAACTTCTACTTGAAAGATTTCACCAGCTGAGCTTTAAGGTTCTCTTGGGAGATCACGTGACATAAGCTTTTACTGAACTTGTGGAACATATTGAAACTGATTTTTTAAAAAAATGTTCTCTTGGGCTGTAGTATTTCAAGGATTTTTCCTCCTCCTCTCCTATCCATCAGAATCACAGTGCTTCACAGGGCTCTTTGCTTACGGTTGAGGTTTGTCTTTGCTTAAAAAAGGTGAATCAGAGATAATTTTCTGCTTCCACATACAACATCAAGTCCACGTACAACAGCATCACAGTTCAGGTATTACACCTTTATATCGCTCTGATTGCCTAGTCCTTTTAACAGTGTTTAGATTATAAGCAAATTCTTTTATTAATTAAGGGGTTTCCCAAAACATTATCAGGAATTTACCCTTCTGCCCCAAGAATTGTTCTAAAGTTGACCAGGATTTAAAATAAAATGCCTAGTATCATAGTGCCTTTGAATACATCTAGAGTGTGGCAGTGTTTGGAATATTGTGGATACTGTAGAGCTTAACAAAGTATGAAAAAGAACAACCCAAATGACCAAGCGATTGGAACATCTTCCCTATGAGGAAAGGGTAATGAAGAGTCTGAGTATTTTTAGTTTTAAAAGAAGATAGTTAAGGAGAGGATTGCCTAGACAAGCATTATCTAACCACAGTGGTCAGAAAACAGAGAGTGGACACTATCCCTCTCTACAATTGTAGAATTCAGGATCATCCAATGAAATTGATAGGTGGGATTCAAGACAAGATAGAAGTACATCTTCACTTAATGTAAATCTATAGATTTCACTGCCATAAGACATAGTGATGGCCTCAGATTTAGATGGCTTTGAAAGAGGACAAGACAAATTCCTAAGGATAGGACAATCAGTGGCTGTTAGCCATGTGACTAAATGCAACCTCCAGGCAGAAAATTTAATATTTTTAAAAAACAACTTTGCATTATAATTCCACCACTCATAAATTGGGTGTGATATTTTTAAACTTTCAAGATTCTTGCCAAAGCTTTGCTGCTTGAGCAATAAGAACAATAATGCTTTATTACATTTCTTGATGCATTTTACTCTGTAGTGATCCAGGTAACAGCTGTATGTGCAGTCTGCTCTTTTGTGATACTACCCACTACCCAGCTATTTGTGTATCATAAACCATATTTTAAAGCACAGGAATATAACTGTGCAGTGTTAGTTGCATATTCCTAGCAATTTCTGGTCTACCAATTATGAGGAGGAGGGGGTACATGGACTGAAATACATAGCACTAGTGGCTCAAGTGGTTAAGACGCTGAACTGCAGACTGTGGAAGGTCAGTAGTTCAGCAGTTCGAGACCCGGGTGCTGCATGATGGAGTGAGCTCCCATCTCTAGTTCCAGCTCCTGCCAACCTAGCAGTTCGAAAGCAAGAAATTGCAAGTAGATAAATAGGTACCACTTTGGTGGGAAGGTAACAGCGTTCCGTGCGCCTTGGTGTTTAGTCATGCCGGCCACATGACCACGGAAACGTCTTCGGACAGCGCTGGCTCTTCGGCTTTGAAATGGAGATGAGCACCGCAACCCTAGAGTCGGATTCGACTGGCTTTCGAGCAAGGGAACCTTTACCTTTACCTAGATATAGATTAAGGGGCTGTCTTCCTGATGAAAAGATCAGGTGTGCTGTTTCAGCAACTTTAAACCCCCATACTCTAGATCTGCAGAGAGCTTCACACTGAGTTCACCTTGACTTAATCCATGTGGCTAATATATGGAGTAATGCATGTCTCATGTAGGCTATGCAGTGGCATTGTTGCCTTCTTGCAATACACCTGTAGTGGGTCTCAGGAAGAGGTAAAGAGAAAGCTCTTCAGTGAGACTGACCTCCCACCCAGAGTCATTGAGCAAGTTTCATTTTGAGAGCCAGCATGGCGTAATGGTTAAGGCGTTAGACTAGAAACTCAAGAGTCTCAGGTTTGAATTCCCACTCTGCCATGGAAGGCCATTCTAAATAATAATTCTAAATAAATTTCTAAATAACATGACAGAGTTAGAATTTGGATTCAGCTCTCCGAGATCGTAGTACAAGATTCTAACTACTAAAGTGACTGACAATGAAGACAATTTTTTAAAACATTAATACTATTGATGATTAATATGTGTTTCTTTTCATGACATTATCTGGCACTTGGCTGTCTAATTTAGTCATTGTGAGGGGGGTGGGGCCAGAAGGTGGTCAGTTAACTGAAATGGAAGTTGTTCTGCTTCCCTTAATGTGGCGGCTGGGTCTAGGTCTGCTGCCAGTGCTATTCAGCTTGGCCAGGCAGCAGGCTGGCAGGCAGGGAATTTCTCTCCCCTTTCATTTCCCCTTCCCTGGCACTTCTCCCAACTCAGGACTGTATTTTCCATGCTGTTCTTATACATGGCTGATTCTTTCCTATTTGATCCTGGGCACTCCATTGGAGCTTTGAGCATTGCTTAAGTAGATCCACAGGCAGATGAAATATTGTGTATCTTGATGAGTTGCCCATGTTGCATCTCAAGAATATTTATCACCACTTACTCCACAGATGAACATCTCAGCGTGAGTAAGGTCCATTCTGTGTATGATGAGTTTTATGTATATTTTTGTTAAATATATGGGGTGCTCAGTTTGAATTTTACCACTGAGGAAACATGTTTGGTATTGGTTCTTGTATATGGATATAATTTGTGTCTTTTAACCTGTATTTATATGATTGGACATTTGTCTTTATATTAGCGATAGGTAGCTATATGCAGAACCATAGGATTGTGGTTTTTAAATGATATTTTAGAGCTTTTAAAAGTATAATTAAGTTATGTTTGATATGTTGTACGTTAGCAGTACATGCAAAGCTATATTTTTGTTTCTTTTTTTGTCTCAACCTTTTTGGTGATTTTTCTTATGTAGGGCTGTGTTTAATGATATTTTGGCACTTTTGAATGTATAATTAATATATGATGTTTTGTACATTAGCACTACATGCATAGCTATATTTTAGTTTCTTTTTCTTTGTCACAACGTTTTTGGTTACCGTTCTGATACATGGTATCACATGTGTTGGAAGAAGCGTCTGAAGTATTGGGGGGGGGGATCTCTGCTGGCCAGCCTGCAATAGCCTTCTCTGACATGGCTTGATAGAGGCCCCATCCCCGACCCAGTAAAGGGTGGGACAAGGAGAGAAGATGAGTACAGCAAATACCAACATTAACAGGGGCAATGGTGAATGTAAAACAAATGGAAGTTTTTTAAACTTTGGGGAAAAATTGTTCACCCCAAATGGATCCAGAGGAACACAACCCAAGGCGTGCAGTGGGCTGACCTGGGGCATAGCCTAGGAAATACGTCTGGGACAAATATACCCAAAATACAATAGAGAAAGAAAGCAGAATCCGATTTAGATTGCTGAACTTCTCTCTAATTTTCTCTTCCGTCGACCAAGAGTCGGTGTAGCCCAGCAAGCGCCTGCACCGTTCTGTCTTACACCTTCCATTATCACACATCTTTATTTTCCCACCCCCATCCGTTGACCTTTCCCCCTTTATATCTTGATGGCATATGTCGGATCTGTCCAGCGGTTTCGGACTTAAAAAAAAATTCCAAGCGGAATCCTGATCTGATTTTAAAAAATATAGATATATACCAGCTCTGGTTTGTTTCTAGAGTCGGGTGGTAGCTCTGCCGAAATCACTGTCACATTCCTCCCGTAGTAGTCCTTTAAAATTAATAGCACATGCAGAGGAAAAACTAAACCCCTTTGACGTCACTCGTGAAACGAGGAAACATAAACAGAGAAGGCTCCACTCCAGCAAGCTCGCAGGGCTCGAGCTGATTGGCCCGCCTTGCCGAGCCTGTGGCCGTTGACAGCACCTCCCAGCCAGGCACGGCCTTCCTACTTGCTGCTTAACACTCAGCCGCTCGGAGACTGCAGCAAGCGCCGCGGAGCTCTTATCCCAGCACTTGCCTGGCAGAAAAGTGCAGGCTCCTGGACGAGTCTCTCTCTCTCTGGCGCCTGCTTCTTCGTGGGCATTGCCCCCCGCCCCCCACCTTGCACAGCACGTGTGCGTGCGCACCTTTCTCTCTCCCTCCTTGGGCGCCTCACTTAATAATTTTGCCTCATCCTGGATGCAGTTGCTGGATCCTGCAGTACAAGTCTTCATGAACAAGCTGCACCGCTTACAGATTTCACGGCATTCAAAGGTCACAGATTTGCCACTATGGTTAAATGTCTTGTTTAATGGTTGAGGTAGGTACAGCAAATCCAACCAGGCAGTGGAATGGGGTTTTTGAGGGGGGGGGAATGGGGGGGGAGAGAGAAGGTGCATTTGCCAAAGTTAATGAACAAGGCAATATTGTGTTCTGAAGATTACACTACTGATTGTTATGTCAGAAACTGATTTTTTTTAAAAAAACAAACAAACTACCTTTTCCGTCGTCGTTGTTGTTGTTACCCAACAGCCATCTGATTCGTGAAACTTGTGTGGATTTTAACTGAGTGCAAGAGTCAAATGAAGGATTCTGGTACAGTGACACTGAAAGGTCTCTTCCCCCTCACCCAGTTGTCTTCCGTCCAGTATTTCAGTGGCTTGAGTAGAACCCCTATAAATGACTGGATGTACAGGAACAGATAACTTGGATCTGGAGGGGGGGGATACACGGAAAAGGCTCAAGGGGAAGGGGGGGGAATGGAGATGTGGAGCAATATATTGTCTCAGTCATTTGTGTTGTGTGACACATATGTAGTAGCACCCTGATGCCTTCAGCTGGTTTGGAGTGCCAAATACAAAGTTAGGGACGCTCTTTAACTTTGCTGAAAGAGAAATGGGCTGTCTTGATCCTTTGCGACTAGCTTTGCCACAGAGCCGAAGAACAGGCAGGGGAAGCTTTGTCCAAAGACTCTCTTTGGGGCTTGTTTGGTGTCACGTATGCTCAGCTGGTGATCGAGCAGCAGCCTGTAGCCTTAACTTGAATGACGGTTGCAGTAGGAAAGTGATCTGCGTGTGGTGCAGGAAACAGGAGCAGTGGCTCAAAACAGAACTTACATTGTTTTCAGGAGCATAGTTGCAACATGCGCATGGAGAAACCGGTCACTTGAGAGATGCATGTTTAAAATCCTTCTTAAATAGCCAGTGGTTGACACTAATTAAAAGATGGCAGTGAGGTATATTGTCAGTAAATGGTTTAATCACACTACGGGCTCACTAAGCTGTTCCTTGGGGGGGGATGTTGCTTCCTGTTTGTTGGATTCTTGTTCATAATTTCAAAGTCATTCATGAACAGGTGAAACGTTCGGAAACATTGAATGCATCACCCTGACCATACTTTTTGAATGGTTAAGAGAGGGAGAAGCAATGAACTGTACTTGATTCATAAGTACTCTATCACTTTAGGAATAGCAAAAATATTAGCTCTGAAATGCAGACTATCTGCTATGTGCTGTGAATGGACAATTGCTATTCTGCAGTGTCTGGTGTGGGGGGGAAACAAGGACTTAGTGTATTACAAGTGCATAACTGCAGCTCCTCCATTTCCTATGCTGTATATTTGTGGATGGCTGCAGAAACAAAGAGACTGCTGTCACTAATAAATCGCTTAATGACACATCTCATCTACTGGACTAAAGCATCCCTCTTTCTTTTTTTGACTATCAGTCCACAGTCAATTTTTATTAGCTGAACAGTTAGCTACAGATATCTCTTCCCTGCTGCCAGTATCCCCACGTTTTCTTCTCCTGCCGTGCAAGACTGTTTATGCTGCAAAAGCTAGCTTGATCCAGATACTCAAAATCCTGATGCTTTATATTTCCACTGTGTGTGAAATGTGCACTACTTTGTTTAAATTATATCTTTATAGAGTGGTAATACGGAAGCCAGAGAATTCTATACGGAACAAAAAGTCTTCAGACTTTCTGAACTTCCTGGTAATCCCTGGATTTGGAAGGCGTCATCTTGCTATGGTTTAATAAAAAGGGTCGTCGTCCTTTTTGAAAACATTGTTTAATATATGAAATGAACAGGGCATGGAATGAATCAGTGATGAGGATTGTAACTTGAATCCGAATTCTCTGCTGTTACCTCAATTTGAAATTTAGCAAGGGTAAGTTTCACTGAAGTTAATGGCATTTAAGTTAGTCGTTAAAAGGCTAACATTTCCTGTTGTCAGAGAGATGAGGATGCTGGTTTGTTGAGCTGTCCCCCAGTCCCTCACTAAGTATAATGCCACTTATTCCCCTGATAAGCAGGGCTCTAGTCGGGGGGGAGCTCTCAGGTACGGAGCTCCGGAAGAGAACCTCTAGGGGGCGGGGCGGTCACGTGGTGAAGCCCCGCCCCCTTCTTTACCCCGCCCTCTGCTTCGATCCTCATTCCGTTTGGGAATGAGGATGAAGCAGGAGGGTAAGTAGCCGGGCCTTCTGACACACTTCCGGTGATGTCAGGGGGTGTGGCCTTCTGTCACTTCCGGTGATGTCAGGGGGCGTGGCATATGCAAATAAGCTATGCTAATGAGTTATGCTAATGAGCTCCGGCAGCTCTTTTTCTACAACAAGACCCCTGCTGATAAGACTTCCTTGCCCTGACCAGAGGCAGCCAGTTGTATGGAATGGAAACCTTTCCCAGTCATTTCAATGACACGATGATATCCCATAACAGAGTAAGTGGAAGAGACAGAAAGAACTTAACACAACAGTGCTGTTTTCAGCGCAGCAGGAGCCCAATATCTGTGATAACATTTAGGTCTGCCCTGATTTCCCCTCATTTATTTCAATAGTGCAACAAACTTTGACCAGACTGGCACCACTGGGCATTTCTGAGAGAGTCCCACACCAGTTTGAGCAGCACTCCCCTCTTTCCAGATGTTTGTTGTACACAGACATTTTGATTGTCCTCATGGTATCTGTAAAATGATACCATATGGCATATGCCTGAAAACAGCTTCCCCCGTACACACTTACCATGACCAAACTTTGTAGAATGCATACTAAATGGCGGTGGAAAGTGCTGTCAAGTTGCAGCCAACTCATGGTGGCTCCTCATGGTGTTTTCAAAGCAACAGATGTGCAGAGGTGGTTTGCCATTGCCTGTCTCTGCATAGTGACTCTGGATTTCCTTGGTGGTCTCCTATCCAAATGCTAACGAGGGCTGACCCTGCATAGCTTCTGAGACCTGACAAGACTTGGGCCGTCCAAGTCAGGCTCCATACTAAATACAAAAACCAAAACAAAATAAGGACATACAGTTATACTTCGGTAAGACACAGAAAGCTGTATTCAGGTATACTGCCTAGGAAGCAGACTCTTCATCCATTTGTTTAGACTTGGGCCTCTTGTTTTCTCAAATGATCACAGTTTTTCAGTGTCAGGTAGACACATGGCTGAGTAGCCCCTGCCCCTAAACACCAGCCCAAATGAAGATTTGCTGGTTAAACCTTCACGAATGGTCAAGCCTAAAATCTAGCCGGTTTTCAGAAAACGGGAGCTCCAGAAGACCTAAGTTACACATTAGAAATACTAAGAAAAGCAGGGCACCTAAATACCAAATCAGATGAAATGATTGCCTGGATGATATGATTCCAGTGAGTTACAGTTTTTTGTTGTTTCTAACACCACCATGCATTTCTGATCCAATAGTTCAGTAGGAAAATATAAACATACTGTACCATACGAGCAACCCCTTTTTCTTATCCTATTTAATGTGGCCCTCAAGGCTGTTCTTACATGTGTTCATTTCTGCCTCAGTGAAGTTGAGTCATCATCATGATAATGCTTAGAAGCCAGTGAGACAAAACTCTTTAAAAGTGTTTGTTTACATGCACAGCTCCACCGCACTAGGTTGGACTGTAAGTCACTAGAAGAGCAATCCTACAAGTACAATACCTTTATTGGCATAGTAAATTTAACATGCCATTTAGGATCAATATATAGAATTGAAATCCATACATAAGTTAAAACATAAATACATAAAATTATACAAGAATCAATTTATAATAGCGCTAGGAAAAAGGCTCATTGTGGAAATAAATACAATGGCCTCTAGAAAGAGGCTCTGGGCAGGTGCCCCAGCCTTGGACACTCAGTGTCAATTTGCTGTGGTGACCTCAGCAGGGTATAATGACACTGAGTCCACCATTTTCTCCAGAGGAACTGATCTCTGCTACCTAAAGAACAGTTGTAATTTTGAGTGATCTCCAGCCCTCACCTGGAGATTGGTAATGATGGTTCCCCAGAAGGGAATAGTTGGTTTGGAGGGTGGAGTCTATAGCGTTGTACCTGTCCGAGGTCCCACGCCTCCTGAAACCTCACCCTCTCCAGGATCCATCCCTCATATTCCCAGGAATTTCCCACCTGGAGTTGGCAACCCTGTCTCCTTCCCAGCCAATCATCAACCTACCTTTATTTCCCCCTCACTCTTCAGCTTTCCACCCCCCCACACACCTGCAGCCTCTTCCGTGCTCTGAAGCCCTGACTGCTACGTCACATTGGCTGTCATACGGGGGCCACCTCAGCAGCATATAAGGATACAGAGCCCACCATTTTCTCCAGGGGAACTGATCTCTGCCATCGGGAAAGCAGTTGTAATTCTGAGGGATCTCCAGCCCTCACCTGGAGATTGGACACATTTTACCTCTTCTGAGCAAAACTGTTTCGAATGTTAGAGGCAAAAGCCAATCAAGTCACATATGCAAACGACCTCTGTGTTCTGAGGCAAAGGCCAATGAGGCTGCATATGCAAATAACCTCTGTGTTCTGACTGGCTATGGGCGGGAGAGGATTAGCAAAATGTTTAGAATGTTGGAGGCAGGACTCAGGCAAAGCAGCCAGTGGATAGGGAGACCCTCTGAATGACAGATCAAAGAGCGAACTGATTTTGGAGGGTGTGGAATGTTCTAGAGAAGTGCCACCACCATTCAGCTATTATTTATAAGGGAGATTAGATTTGGCTTTAAGAATTTCTTCCAGAAATTTTGTAACCGCTTTAGTAATTTCTGCTGCCGAGTCATTCAATAAGAACTAACAATGTATTGCAACATTACCTGGGATAAATTTCCAAACAATTCCCAATGTAAATTGTCATTAAACTGACACTCAAGCATTATATGCTGGATTGATTCTGGAAGATTCGCACCACAAGGACAAAGTCTCTCATAAAAAGGGATTTGATGATATCTCCCAGAGAGAACGTTAGAGGGGAGTGTGTTCATGCTAGCCAGCATAAAAGCTCTACGTTGGGAAGGAATCTCAAGATTGTATAA